CCGGGAGGAGTTCTTAGAGCCCCCTCCCCCGCCCCAGCCCCGAGGGCGGCGGGGCCGGGGGGGACCTGGGGGGCCGGCCGCTGCCTCCGCCCAGAGGAAACTTTCTAAAAACAAACCCCGGAGCCTCCCGAACGTGACTGTCCCGAGAGAAGTGGCCCTGAACGGGCAGAAGCCACAGCCTGCAAAGACCCAGGAAGAGGAAAAGAGGAGGTGAGCGGGGCCGCCGCCTTCTCTGCCCTGGCAGCGCGGAAGAGCCCCGGTGGCCGCCTGGTTGAGCGACACTCGCACCGCGTCTTCCTCTGTACCGCGCCGGAGCCTTCCGCAGCTGCCGCCTGGGTCCGGAGGAGGAAGGGAACCAGCCCACTTTCTCAGCGCCGCGGCTCTGCTCCCCAGTGTGAGTGGCCCCGGGATGGGGAAGGGAGGGGGAGACCGCGGGAGGATGCCGCTGCTCGCTCCCGGAGTTCTGCTGGTTCCCAGGGGTGCTGGCAGCCTGTGGATGAGAGGTTACACCTTTCTTCCCCGCGGAGGGGAGGAGGCATTAAGTAGTGCTGTGTTTTGACACCTTTCAGCTCTTTCTACGAGCAGTGCAAGTACGCACACCGGTCTCTCTCCCAGGACGTCTCTGTCTCTCCAGAGCGGTTACTTGCACCTTTCGGGCCAGTAATTGGCAAAGGGAAGTTGAGGAAGCCAGAGCATATGTGCACACAAAAGCTATCTCGGTAGTATTCCTTTTCCTGATACACCAGGTGTGACACAGCGCTGTAGTTTTTGTTTCTGGGGAGACTCGTCTTATATGGGTTCCCAAGTGAGAACTACTTACCTTATGAACCCCTGACAGTGAAATTCTTTTATTTACTTATTTGTTTTTACAGTCTTCTTTGAGGGATTATCATTTCGGTACCTACTGGTACAGGTTTTTTGTTTTTGTTTTTTTTACTTTCTTAGTTCCTTGGGTCCAATTCTGTGTCAGGAGGACACTAGCATTTCAGTTATACGGGAAATTCTGAGTTCTTAGGAATCACAAGTTATTTGAAAAAGAGCACTTATTACATTAATCGTTTAATTTTTTTCCTTTTTTTTTGAGTAGCATCTTAAATGAAAATGCTTTATTTGGGAGAATGGTTTGAGGCTTTGCTTTTTTGAGTTATCTTCTGTATCATTTTAGAAACTTTTGATGTTCAGTTCTTTCAAGAATGACTTTTTCCTTCCACGATTTTACAGTTAAAATCGATAATATCTTTTACTTGTATTTTGGGTATCTTCTCAGAGTGCCAAATTAAAGGTACATGAAAATAATCAGCATTTAATGTATTTATTCAGACCTTAAGTTTTAAACGTAGAGTGAGATTTTGTGTAAGAAAGCATAGACAGTACTATACTGAGAATTATGGTCTGTCTAGACAGCTGTGTGGACTCGCTCTCTGAAGCTACTGCTGAGAGATGCTTTGTGGGAGTGAATGTAAGCCTGCCGTTATCTGTTTATCCTAAGTTCTCCATTCAGGATCTTGATTAAGTTTATAAGACTGCGTCAGACTTAAGTGTTTTCATCCTACACGTTTTCTCTTTTAAAGTAATGAGTTTTGCAAGTTTATTAGCTTCTGTATTATGTTAAAATTCATGCATGTATTCTACACCTGTGTTCTTAAACGTTCAAGACATAGCCAGAGTTTGTGTTTGAGAAATGCTAGAACAAACCTTAGGTCATCTTTACTTGATTTTATAGACTTTGATTAATGTCCTCTCTGCCATCATCTTGCCCAGCTTTTTTCTTAGAATTATTTCTTCTTTTTTTTTTGATCACTTTGCCCTCTTCTGAAACTTCTTTCACTGTTTTATTTTTCTTTAGATGCCTTATCATGCTTTTTTTTTTTTTTTTAAAGAACCTTAAACTCTATCTGCTTTAAATGCATACTGACATGAAAATGCTGAATAGGAGATGCAATGTTAGACTTAGAATCAGAAATAAATGTCTCTGGATTTGTTATCTTATTTTGTGACCTTGAGTAAGTCATGCATTCTCTTTTTCACAAAGATATGACAAAGAGAAATCTAGTTGTGCAGAGTCTGTATTTTGGGAAGGAGAGGAGGACAAACAAACAACTGTGAATGTAGATTGCACTCTATCAAGTTGCTTACTAACTTTCGGATTGCTTACTAACTTTCGGATTGCTTTGATTATAGATTGGTTAAAAATTACGGTAGCATTTAATTGCATGTTTGAGTAGAAATGACAAAGTGGGGTCTGCTTTTGAGATGCTTTTATTTATGGGTGGTGGAAACAATCAAACAAATTGCACAGAACTGTAGGAATGGGGGGATGGTCCAATATTGATCTAAGACCACTATATACCAGATGATACTATGCTTGTACAGTGTCTTATGAATGTTAATGTATTTGTATATTTTTCACTAGGGAAATGTTAAAAGGACAGATTTGTTTCCCCAAGTTTATGTTTTTGAAGTTTGCTCTTCCTTATTATTATCCTAAGTTTGTTCTTAATATGATGAAGCGAGGCTAAAAATAGCTGACAGAGAAGGCTGCTTCCCTTGCTTGCAGTTGATGTGTGTCTTTGTGTCTCATACAATGGAGGGGATATCCCTGTGTTGGCAAAGTAGTGCTGAACATGCTTTTTTTCCCCTTTTTTAAAAAACGCTTTAATTAAAAAACAGAAAGCAACTTGGTATTTAAAAAATTTAGATATCTTTGTGGCTTGCGTTTAGTGTTGACTTTGATGAGGATTAAGGATTGCAAGGAAGGGAACATATATTCACACATTTTTGTGTTCCTTAGCTGGATTTCATTTTCCCAGTAGTTTTTTGGACTTCTTAAGAGTGATTATTCAAATGGCAGAACCCTCTTGGGAGGAGATGTTTAGACAGGGAGGTAGATTTAAGGTGAATCTAGGATAGGGTGTAGGGATTATAATACATGTCTTATGGAGGCCTTCTCTCTCAAGTCTCCTCTTTCCACAGCATTTTTTTATGCAGGTGAAGCCTTGTTTAGATGAATTTAGAAGGTAGCATTTTATGGTTAACATGATTTTCAGAAAAGACAGTGGGAAAGGTAGGACTCTGTGGTAGTACAGAGAGGTAATAACTTCATGTGGTTTGCCTTGGCACCTTTGGAATTTATATGGGATGAGTAGAGAACAATGAGGGTGTATATGTGTTTTAGTACCAGATTACTCCAAAGTCTCTGCATAGGCTCATTGCATTGTACTTTGGAGGTGGTTCTTGGAGAAGTCTTGTGGTGCCTCTGACGTCTCATTGTGTAGAGGAGGAGTTGGCATGGCAAACATTTTTCGTAGAGGTCCAGTTAGTAAATATTTTAGTTTTGTAGGACACATGGTCTCTGTTGCAACTTTTAGTTCTGTTCTTATAGTGTGAAAGCAGCTGTAGACAATACCGAAGCAAATGAGTGTTACTGCGCATCAATAAAATCTCATACAAAGACACAAGAGGTATGTTGAATTTGACCTGTAGGCTGAAGTTTACAGACCCCGATATAGAAAACTGTATATAGTCTGAGCTTCATTACACTGCAAAGCTAGTACTGGCTATTTTAGATGGTCTCTGTTTTCTAGAAGAAAAAAAAAACCCTCTAGGCTGTCTTAAGATGATTCTGCATAAAGCACAGAGTCTACTGTTCAAAATACTTTGCTTTCATAGTGATGAAGACTGGATTGAGGAATAGGGGTGATGCCATCTCTAAAGGGGTATGTAGCTAAAATGTAGCGACTGTTTGACTTCTTATTCAAAGATAACCTTGATTGGCATTTAGTGATATACTGACTTTGTATCATGACTAAAGTATCTGTGAAGAGGCTTGTGGGTATACTTTCGAAAGCTTCTGGAGACTAATTATAAAGCATTTACTTTGTATGTAAAATTATAAATGCGGTTAGTTTGAATAACATTAGTCAAATTGTAAAAACATTAAGGTTTGGTACTTCTCGTACAGTGTTAATCTCTTGCGATGACACTAATTCAGTGTGTAGAATTATTGACTCCACAGTTTTTGTTTTGTTAATTTTTTATTTTATTTTATTTTGAGTTGGAGTCTCACTCTGTTGCCTAGGCTGGAGTGCAGTAGCACACTCACGGCCACCCCAGCGTCAACCTGCTGGGCTCCAGTGATCCTTCTGCCTCAGCCTTCCAAGTAGCTGGAACTACAGGCGCACACTACCACAACTGTCTAATTTTTTCATTTATTGTAGAAACGAGGT